ATAAATCCAATCTCTTCTTCTTCTGTTTGGAGACTGATCTGTACATGACAACCAACTGTCAATAGTACAACCAGGGGCTTGGGAAACTAACAAGACTTCAGCGGTGTTTTCTGACCACGAGCTCCTCCGGTCAGGGCCGCTTCCAGGTTTTGGGAGGGCCTAGACCCTTATCCTCTCCTCCCCCATACCTCCCTTCCCACCAATGCTCCCTCTAAGCTGTGGAGTCTTGTGGGCAAAAAGTCTACTTTGTGAGCTACTGGCTTTAAAGTTGTGTGAGAGCAATTTGGCTACTGCTCTGGAGCCATTCCTTCCTGAGCGAAGACAAAAATGCGAGAGCCAGAGGCTAAAAAGCCGTGACCTAGCTCACACTAACTCAGCTTAGAGGGAACACTGCTTCCCACCCCCTGACCTTGTGCGTGTGCATTCTTCCCCCACACACACACCCTTTCACGGTCCCTCTCACCACCTACACTCACAGATGCCTGCACCACTCAAGGCTGGGAAGTGCATACAGTTGGGGGCGTGGAGGTATGCGTTCAGTAGCATTGGGCCCCGCCTGAAGACCTGGGCGTCTGCCCGACCTCAAGGGACACTGCCGGCCCCATCTCCAGCGTTCTGCATTCAGCCTTATGGCCCTTTTAATATCCGCATCTCTTCCACCACCGCCTGTTCTTCCTCACGAAAACTGATCCTGACATCCCCAGGAGGAGTTCTTGGGTAAGCAGATCTGTTCTACTTATCAGCTAATGAAGAAGCCAGCCGAGGCAGCCTTTCCTGGGGTCAATCGCCGAGGCTGTTTTAAATCAATCCCCCCGCCCCGCTCCCCTTCCTGGCTCATCTTCTTCTCTCTGGCTGCTGTATAATCCAATTCAGCTCAACGGCAGATAAATTTAGAAATTGCCCGGGGGGGGGGGGGGGAGAACTAAACCGAAAAGGTCCCTCCCCGTTTCTGGAAATGAACGTTAAAAGTTGTCTGGAACCTTTTGCCGGACAGAAGCATTACCATTGCCTTTGACGCAAATCCGGAAGCTGCAGCTAGTGCAGAATGCTGCAGCCAGACTTCTGATGTGTCTCCCTAGGCGGGAGCACATCCGTCCTGTGCTGAAAGCACTGCACTGGCTGCCAATAGCATACCGGATTCGCTTCAAAGTGCTGGTTCTTTCCTTTAAAGCCCTATACGGCCAGGGTCCGACATACCTGAGGGACCGCCTTTCCCCATATATACCCCAAAGGGCATTACGGTCAGGGACGTAACATCTGCTGGTGACCCCAGGCCTCAAGGAAGCCAGGCCTGCGGTTACTAGGGCCAAGGCCTTCTCGGTGGCAGCTCCTACCTGGTGGAATGAGCTCCTGGAGGAGATCAGGGCCTTGCAGAACCTAGCACAGTTCCTCAGGGCCTGCAAGACGGAGCTCTTCCGCCAGGCTTTTGAGTAGGAGCCGCCACAACCACCACCACCAGGTAGAAATAGGGACTCTGGGGCAAGGGATGCTCTGTCTTCTGGGTGCTTGGGGGTGGTCAACAGTGGGAGGGCTTCTTGTGTCCTGGCCCCACTGGTGGACCTCCTGATGGCACAGGTATTTCTGGCCACTGTGTGATACAGAGTGTTGGACTGGATGGGCCTTTGGCCTGATCCAACATTGGCATCCCTTATGTTCTTATGTTCACCAACGAGTTTGGAAACAGCAGGGTATGGGAGTGGCCCTGTGATGATCGAACTGCAGCACTATGGCGTGTGGATACCACTGAGTTGAGATCTGACTGAATATCCTCCGGATACCATCTTTCAATTGAAGACTATCACCTGCGACCATCTTGAAGCACTTTATTTTGTAAATATTGTAATTTGTGTGTTTTTATCTTATTTTTATGTATTTGGCATGCGGGCCCTGATGTCAGCCGCCCTGAGCCTGCTTGCAGGGAGGGCGGCCTAGAAATAAAATAAATTTAGAAACAGAACGGTGTAGACAGTGAATATTGAATTCAGTACTGCACTGTGCTGAATCAGTCCCCCACAGTTCAAGCAGTGGGTGAAAAGGGAGTGGATTATAAGTCATCTCCGCGTTGCATCCTGTTTTCAAGTCCGCCTACATTTCAGTCCCGGTTAGCCTGCTGCAGGACTGCTTTGAAGGGTATGGAGAATAAACAAGGAAGGCCTCATCTGATTTTGGCAGCGGATGAAACATAGAAGATAAATAGATGAAACACAGCTCTGCCAGGTACCCCATGCTAGAAGTGATTCATCATAAGCTTGGCTTTGCCATGTCCGGTGCTTCCACACAAATGTCCACATGGGTGCAATTGCCATATGCAATAGCCAAATGCAGATTCCATTATTTCCACCAGATCACTATGAAAAATTCAATTAACAGAGAAATCGTCTCCTGTGTTATTTTCCCAGCTGCCTGATAGGCAGAAACTCTGCCTGGGAAGCCTCTTTCCTTTTAACCTTTGTGCTCCCACAAAAAAAAGCTTAATCTATTGAATTTCTGTCTGTCTGGGAGCTGGTAAAAGATCGTAGAGGTGCCCTGCCAGGAAAAATTGACGGTTGCTCCCGAAGCAGTTCATCAGGAGCTTGCTTTCCTAGGAATACCCACCCCCAACACTGTCTTGATTCCCTAAAACTTTACAGTGTGTAATGAAGTAAAACAAAAGTTTAGTGGAACATTAATGACTAAGACCATGTATTAAAAGATGAGCCACGCTCATGGCTGAATATGGATTCCATTGCTCCTCAGCAGAACTGATTCGAAAAATGAAATCAACATAAAATGAACCACCTAGATGTTTTTAACAGCTGCCAGTAAAAAGGATGCAGACTGAGAGTGATTTCAGCAAAGCGTACTTTATTCGATCAGGAACAAGACGACTTTAGCCGGCTCGCAGGCCGGCTTATATCCCCCGAGAAACCGCCACCCAAAACACACCCCTACTTCCCTATAGGTTATTTACAGTGGCCGAGAGTCCGCATGGTCAAAGCAATGGTATTCCCAGTAGTCATGTATGGCTGCGAGAGTTGGACTATAAGGAAGGCCAAGCGCCGAAGAATAGATTCTTTTGAACTATGGTGCTGGAGAAGACTCTTGAGAGTCCCTTGGACTGCAAGGAGATCAAATCAGTCAATCCTCAAAGAAATCCACCCTGACTGTTCCCTGGAAGGCCAGATAATGAAACTGAAGCTCAAATACTTTGGCCACCCAATGAGAAGGGAGCCCTCCCTGGAGAAGAAGACCCTGATGCTGGGAAAGACTGAAGGTCAAAGAAGACGGGGACGGCAAAGGATGAGATGGTCAGACAGTGTCATCGATGCAACGAACATGAAATTGAGCCAACTTCAGAGGACGGCGGAAGACCGGAAGGCCTGGCGTGATCTGGTCCATGGTGTCGCGGAGAGTCGGACTCGACTGTGCGACTGAGCAAGAAGAAGATGGGGAAAAATTCAGTGGAAGAATTCTGGGGTGCCTGCAAAGGCAGTGAATGTAAAGGGGGCTTCACCCACTGAATATCAGCCTGTTAATGTGCAGGCAGCCAACCAGTGAAGCGTTTTTTCATTTAACCCCCGCACTCTCCATAACAACTTCACCTCTGAAGAAGTGTGCATGCACACAAAAGCTTATACCCAGAATTAACCTTGTTGGTCTTAAAGGTGCCACTGGACTCCGACGTTGTTCAGCAGAAGGCAGCATATCCCATCCAGTGATACCTCTGAACACCAAGGGCTTCACCCATTGAATATCAGCCTGTTAAAGGGCGGGCAGCCAAGAGGTGAAGCCTTTTTTCATTTAACCCCCGCACTATCCATCAAGCTCCCTCTAAGCTGTGGAGTCTTGTGAACAAAAATTCTACTTTGTGAGCTACTGGCATTAAAGTTGTGAACGAGTAATTTGGCTACTGCATAAATTAGCTTGCTCTGGAGCCATCCTTCCTGAGCTAAGACAAAAATGTGTGTTGTTGTTGTTTAGTCGCACAGTCGAGTCCAACTCTTCAAGACCCCATGGACCAGATCACGCCAGGCCTTCCTGTCTGAAGTTTGCTCAATTTCATGTTCGTTGCATCGATGACACTGTCTAACCATCTCATCCTTTGCCATCCCCGTCTTCTTTGACCTTCAATCTTTCCCAGCATCAGGGTCTTCTCCAATGCTCCCTCTAAGCTGTGGAGTCTTCTGAGTAAACATTCTACTTTGTGAGTTACTGGCATGAAAGTTGTGAGCGAGCGATTTGGCTGCTGCAAAAACTAGTTTGCTCTGGAGCCGTCCTTCCTGAGTGAAGACAAAAATCTGTGAGCCGGAGGATAAAAAAATGATGAGCGAGCTCACACTAACTCAGCTTAGTGGAAACATTGATTCTCTTCTCCAGTGAGTGCTCCCTTCTCCTTTGGTGGCCAAAAATGTGTGAGCCAGAGGCTAAAAAACTGTGAGCTAGCTCACACTAACTCAGCTTAGAGGGAACATTGCTCTCCATAACAACTTCACCTCTGAAGAAGTATGCCTGCAGACGAAAGCTTATACCTGGAAAAAACTTTGTTGGTCTGAAAGGTGCCCCTGGGCTCAGGCTTCCTTCAGCTTCCCCTACTGAACTTCCTAAAAACTTGGTTCCCAGTCGAATCCGACTCTAGGGTTGCGGTGTTCATCTCCGTTTCCAAGCCGAAGAGCCAGCGCTGTCCGAAGACGTTTCCGTGGTCATGTGGCCGGCATGACTAAACGCCAAGGCGCACGGAACGCCGTGACCTTCTACCTGTCTGGCAACCCGTTAAAACAGCCAGGTGGATAATTTCCGGCAGATTTCATTTTTCCACTCCTTCTCTCGAAACGTCCCATCTTTGCCCAGCCTTCCACCCAATCCCACCACGTGCTTCCGCTCTAGCAAGAGGGCGGCTACGGGGCGCATGCGCCGCAAAGGGCACCGCGCCGGCGCAACAACCCTACGGTGGCCGCCTAGGGAACCGTCCCGCTTCCGGTGGTGTTCCGGCGCGCCTGCGCCGAGGTGGGTTGTGGGGAGGAGGGGCGGGATGGCGCAGGCGCTCTCAGGCTCCGGCGGCTCCCGGAGCGTAAACAAGGCGCTGCCGTGAGGGATGAGGAGGCGGCCGGAGCCGAGCGCGGCTGGGAGCTGCCGGGGCTGAGCCTCTCTCCCCTTCGCCGTCCCCCCGCCGGCCGGGGGCCCAAGGAAGCGCCATGAACCTGGCCAGTCAGAGCGGCGAGGCCGGCGCCGGCCAACTGCTCTTCGCCAACTTCAACCAGGACAACACGTAAGCGAGGGGGCGTGGCCAGAGGAGCCGGCGTGGGGGGAGGGGGGAGGCGAGCGGTGACGTCACGGCTGCGTTCCAAGGGCCTCCCCGTCCAAATCTATGAGAACGGCATTGCGTGTCGATTTGATTTGCTGGAGAATTTGGGTGTGCTATTTAATTAGTTATTTATTTATTTATTTTAAAAGGCTTCCCACCACACTAGTCCTCAAGGAGGTTATTTATTTATTTATTTAGAAAGGCTTCCCACCACACTAGTCCTCAAGGAGGTTATTTATTTATTTATTTAGAAAGGCTTCCCACCACACTAGTCCTCAAGGAGGTTATTTATTTATTTATTTATTTAGAAAGGCTTCCCACCACACTAGTCCTCAAGGAGGTTATTTATTTATTTATTTAGAAAGGCTTCCCACCACACTAGTCCTCAAGGAGGTTATTTATTTATTTATTTAGAAAGGCTTCCCACCACACTAGTCCTCAAGGAGGTTATTTATTTATTTATTTAGAAAGGCTTCCCACCACACTAGTCCTCAAGGAGGTTATTTATTTATTTATTTAGAAAGGCTTCCCACCACACTAGTCCTCAAGGAGGTTATTTATTTATTTATTTAGAAAGGCTTCCCACCACACTAGTCCTCAAGGAGGTTATTTATTTATTTATTTAGAAAGGCTTCCCACCACACTAGTCCTCAAGGAGGTTATTTATTTATTTATTTAGAAAGGCTTCCCACCACACTAGTCCTCAAGGAGGTTATTTATTTATTTATTTAGAAAGGCTTCCCACCACACTAGTCCTCAAGGAGGTTATTTATTTATTTATTTAGAAAGGCTTCCCACCACACTAGTCCTCAAGGAGGTTATTTATTTATTTATTTAGAAAGGCTTCCCACCACACTAGTCCTCAAGGAGGTTATTTATTTATTTATTTAGAAAGGCTTCCCACCACACTAGTCCTCAAGGAGGTTATTTATTTATTTATTTAGAAAGGCTTCCCACCACACTAGTCCTCAAGGAGGTTATTTATTTATTTATTTAGAAAGGCTTCCCACCACACTAGTCCTCAAGGAGGTTATTTATTTATTTATTTAGAAAGGCTTCCCACCACACTAGTCCTCAAGGAGGTTATTTATTTATTTATTTAGAAAGGCTTCCCACCACACTAGTCCTCAAGGAGGTTATTTATTTATTTATTTAGAAAGGCTTCCCACCACACTAGTCCTCAAGGAGGTTATTTATTTATTTATTTAGAAAGGCTTCCCACCACACTAGTCCTCAAGGAGGTTATTTATTTATTTATTTAGAAAGGCTTCCCACCACACTAGTCCTCAAGGAGGTTATTTATTTATTTATTTAGAAAGGCTTCCCACCACACTAGTCCTCAAGGAGGTTATTTATTTATTTATTTAGAAAGGCTTCCCACCACACTAGTCCTCAAGGAGGTTATTTATTTATTTATCCGCCAATAGCTAGCAATCCAAAAGAGTCCAGTGGAGCCTGAGTGGTGGGTGTTGCCTTCTGACACACTTCCGGTGATGTCAGGGAGTGTGGCATATGCAAATAGTTTACGCGAATGTGTTATGCTAATGAGCTCCTGCACCTCTTTTTCTACTAAATGACCCCTGGATGTAAAGTAGTTTTGCGTTAGGTGAGTCTGCTGCGGGCTTTGAGGTGTGACGGCTCAGTGTTCAGAGTAGTCGTACATCACTGAATGACGAAGAGGAGAATGGATTTATACCCCACTCTTCACTCGGAGTCTCAGAGCACTTTACAATCTCCTTTCCTTTCTCCCCACAACAGATGCCCTGGGAGGGAGGTGGGGCTGAGAGAGCTCTTTCGAGGACTGTTCTTGAGAGAACAGCTCTGAGAGAACTTCTGACTGACCCAAGGTCACACCAGCAACTGCACGTTCAAACTCTTTTCTCCCAGATTAGAGTTGGCCACTCTAAATGTGCTGCCTTCTGTGGAACAAAGTTGGAGTCCAGTGGCACCTTTAAGGCCAACAAGTTTAACTCTGGATATAAGCTTTTGTAAGCATGCACACTTCTTCAGAGGTGAGGTTTTTATGGAGAGTGCAGGGGTTAAATGGAAAAAAGGTTTCACCTTTTGGCTGCCTGCCCTTTAATTCAATGGGTGAAGCCCCCTTTACTGTCTTTGCACATACCCCAGACTTGTGTCTGAACATGGACGCTGACACCCAGAATTAAACTGTGTTGGTCTTAAAAGTGCCACTGGACTCCAACTTTTTCCCTCTTGCTTCAGACCAACGCAGCTAACCACCTGAATCTGCATTCTGCTGAGTTAGATTATTGGTCTATCAAGGCTAGGGTTGCCCGCTTAGACCCGGAATTAAACTTTGTTGGTCTTAAAGGTGCCGCTGGACTCCAACTTTGTTCTGCCGCTTCAGGCCAGCACGGCTAACCCGTGTGGATCTGCCTTCGACTGAGTTAGCTTATTAGTCCGTCGAGGTCCGGGCTGCCAGCTCTGGTTTGGGAGATACCGGAAGATTTGGGGGTGGAGTCTGGAGAGGGAAGAGAACTCAGTGGGGATTTGGTGGCAAGGGAACCCGCTCTTGGCTGCCGTTTTCTCCAGGGGAACTGATCTCTGTCGTCTGGAGATACGTTGTAATTCCAGGGCTCACCTACAGTTTGGCAACCCGAATCGAGGCCAGTCTTGGGCACTGTGGTGGACAGTGTCTTTCCAGGGCCTTGGGGAGAGCAGTCTTTCAGAATGTCTCATCCTTGGACCTTTTAATTGGAGATGGTGGGGATTGAACCTGGGACCTCTTGCGTGCAAACAGATGCTCTTCAACTCAGCCATGGACTTTCCACGATGCCAGTGCTTTGAGAAGGGGGGAGGCTCTAGCTTCTTTGCCAGTTTTAAGTGCGCGGACTCTAACCTGGGTGATTCCCCCCTCCTCCATTTGCAGCTGCTGGATGACCTTGGGCAAGCCGTAGTTCTGTCAGAGCTGTTCTCTCAAAGACAGTTATGAAAACAGCTCTCTCGGCCCCACCTACCTCCCAGGGTGTCTGTTGTGGAGAGGGGAAGGGAAAGGGGTTTGTAAGCCGCTCTGAGACTCCCAAGTGAAGGGTGGGATATAAATCCAATCTCCTCCTCCTCCTTCATCTGAGACAATTAGTTGGCCACTGTGATATCTCCAGCTAGAAAGCCAGTGGTCTGATCCAGTGGTCTCTGTGGCAACCAGGGATCATAGAGGACATCAGGAATCCTGTCTTTAAAAATGTACTCTTGGTAACGACAGCTTGTCTTGCAGAGTGACGAGGATGGTCAGGGGTCTGGAGACCAAGCCCTGTGAGGGAAGGCGGAGGGACTTGGGAATGTTCAGTCTGGAGAAGAGGAGGTTGGGGGGGGCTGCCTGGGGAGGTGGTGAGCTCCCCCTCCCTGGGCAGTCTTTAAGCAGCGACTGGACAAACACTTGTCAGGGATGCTCTACGCCAGTGGTGGCGAACCTTTTAGAGACCGCGTGCCCAAACTGCGACCCAAAACCCACTTATTTATCGCAAAGTGCCAACACGGCAATTTAACCTGAATACTGAGGTGTTACTTTAGAAAAAAACAACTCAAACATTAACTTAAGATGATCCAAACAAAGTAAGGAAAGCAATCCCAGATGCTTTCATTTGCTGAAAATGATTTGGCAGAGAATTCGACACTTTAATGATGGTCTGGGCCTGGTTGGGGTGATGGCACGTGTGCCCACAGAGAGGGCTCTGAGTGCCGCCTCTGGCACCCGTGCCATAGGTTCGCCACCACTGCTCTAGGCTGATCCTGCACTGAGCAGGGGGTGGACTAGATGGCCTCTGTAATGACCCCTTCCAGCTCTGTGTTTCTGTGATGCTATGAAAGAGGAAAGCAGTGCCTTCTGAAGCTGTGTGCTGTTATTCAAGTACAGGAGCTTTCTCTCCCCCCTCCCCCCAATCTGCCTTTTTCTTCCAAACAAAAACCACCCTAGAAAGAGATAACGGCAGCAATGATACTACTGCTGCTCCCCTTGTGGGTGCTGACTCAACAGCAGAAGACTGGTGATACAAAGTGCCTGCAGATGCCTAAAATGCAGGTTGGCTCTCCCGAGTCCCAGTACGCTTCATGGAACTTGAGCCTTGGGGTGTTACGGCGTGGGAGGAAACGAAGCACGTGTTGTGCATGTGAACGGTCCCACACTCAGTCCTTGACATTTCCATTTTTAAAAAAAGGGGTTTTGGGGGAAAGGCTCGGCTTCCCGCTTATTTTGCTACGCGGTTTGTTCCTTGAGAGGGCCGTCCGGCTGAGGTTGGATGTACGCGATTACTGTTGTACTTGGCAGGAAAATTAACCTCTGGTGACTCCGTTGCCAGGTATATCGCCAACTACAAGCACTTGGCTTGTAAGTGTTGAAAGATTCCAGATTATTCAGGCGTTTGTCATGCTCCAGGCAGTTGCCATGTGAGTACAGCAGGATGAAGGAAAGGTGCAATGGATTAAGTATTATTTGCCATTGTGCCTTTCAGCGTAAACTTACTTGTGTTCAATTTTTGCTCTAGTTGGGGTGTCCACCTGGCACGGTAGCCTATTCTGTTGGTATAATCTGTGTCCCGATTTGAGTTTTAAGGTAACTCTCGGTTGATAAGGGGTTAAGACGTAGGAGGAGGGGTAGATGATCACTCTCTAGGGCAGGTAGGACCTGAAGGCTTTTCACAAATGAAAGCGTGTTCCTACTGGCAAGAAAATAATCAATGGGACTGCGCCTGTTTCCCATCATAAATGTGAAGCCACCTGGGAAATCCCCCTCTGTGGTTTCGTTCAAAATATAGAGGTTTGCTCTTCCAGCCATCCCAACGAGACATAATCCAGCAAAATTTGCTTTAGCACAGATCTTAACTCATTGTTGCCAATAGATCGGACCAGTTTTACTTTTCTAATGACTTTACTGTAAAGCTTTTCTTCTTGACTTGTACTGGTCGTTGGCCAAATAAAGGATTGATTGATTGATTGATACTTGCGTTCGG